GTCGGTTTTTTTTTTCAATTCATGATTATTAGATTACACAACAGCTGCTTCGAAGCTTCCCGACTGTGAAGATACGCCGTGCTTAGCTGCGCCAAACCTTTCACCTTCGTACTGCATATTTTCAATTGAAATCCATAACTTGTACTAAAATATACAAGGCACCTCTTTCAAAGCCACAAAAATGGTTTTTTTTTTCTAGTGGGTGCCACTCATTGCGATGTTCACCCGTATTTCAAAACTATTTTGAAATTTCATTTCTGTTATACCGCCGGCTATTGAAAATTTACTAATCACGTTATTAAAAAAATTAGGACACCAGATAAAAAATAATCTCAAATTAGTTTATGAACCTGCAAAATATCCATAACGTAGGCATATTCAACTTTCAAAAAAATTTGGATGCACATCAAAATGGTGGTCTTTTATAAAAATTATTTTTTGTTGATAAAAGCCAATAAAAACAGTTAAATCTGAGAAGCTTTGACTTCAGTGGTAAAAGCCGCGCGCCTAGCGGCAGGGCTAACATAGTTCTGTAACCAGTGTCTTTTGCAAAGAATTCTCTAATAATTATGCCCGTTTAGTATGCGTCCCCTGGTAGACCTAGCACAAAGACTGGCAAGACCTTTTGCCATTCTAACAGTTGTGGCAACCTTTTACAGTTCATTCTTTCTTTAATAACTGGTGCTAGTGCATACCGACATCTTCCTATCTTGATTTCAAGCGATCTTCGGAGGAAAAAACCATAGGCAGCCCATTAATAGGTAGTTTCTGCTTCCAGTAGCATACTTTCAAAAGTTACTTTCAAAAGTTTGCATTACTCTCAACGAGTGAGATTTGAACGGCGAATGAGGAGAATGCTATTTTTTTAGTTTGTGTTTGTACATTTGTTGCTCATTTTTTTCTTCTGTGTGGCAAATACGTTTAGACTGATGACCTACAGCCAAGTAAAACCAGTTAATCGTGCGCAGCCAAACTTCTGTCAAAGCTGCTCTCCAATTTTTAATCGGTTTTTATTTTGAAGGCGTTTATTTTCGTAAACGACTGAAAAAAGCAAAGATGGAGAAGGCTGAATTGAATCATGAAATTGGAATGTGTGCACTGCCACCAA